AAAAATTAGCTGGGCAGGATGGCCTGTGCCTGTAATTCCAGCTACTCCAGAGGCTGAGGCAAGAGAATTGCTTGAACCCGGGAGGCAGAGGTTGCAGTGAGCCGAGATAGTGCCACTGCCCTCCAGTCTGGACGACAGAGTGAGACTTTGTCTCCAAAAAGAATAAAAGAAAAAAAGAAATACCATTATGTATAAAGTTAAATGCTAAGCAGGACATGGAAAGAACATTCTTGTCCTCTGCCTCCTGGGGAGGAGACACATTCAAGGAGGACAGTGAAAGGGCTGAAAACAAGGCTACAATGTATAAGGGAAGGAGACAACGTTATTAAAGAGCCACCTTTAATGTTCTTTCTGATCACAGAAAAAGGTACATGCTTGTGTAAGAAATGCAAACCACCAAAATGCGTAACTTAGAAAGTGAAAGTAAACATTTGATAAATTGAAACTCTTAGCTGGGCTTGATGGCACGAGCCGGTAATCCCAGCTACTCGGGAGGCTGAGGCAGGAGAATCGCTTGAACCTGGGAGGCGGAGGTTGCAGTGAGCCAAGATCATGCCACTGCATTCTGGCCTGGTGACAGAGTGAGACTCCGTCTCCAAAAAAAAAAAATCCCCTAAGAAACCAGGAAAAAGATAAAGGACATCTACCAGAAATCTACAGCAAACATTAGTGAGGAAATACAGAAGTGTTCCTATTCAAATCAGAAGTGAGACACTGATGAGCTATTACTGCCGCTAGACAATGTAAAGCTATAGTCAGAGCCAGTACCACAAAACAAAAATAAACAACTGTGTACGTGAAAAAGTAAAATTAGTCAGGATTTATATATATATATTTATATATATTTAGACTATATATATATATATATATAAATGATCAAGTTATTATTAAAACTGGGGAAGGGCAGCCTAATTTAAAAAACACTGACTTTCTTGTACAATAATCACCTAGAAAATATAAAGGTAAAAAAATTTGTATTGACCATTTTTGGTTTGGGAAAAAAATGTAAAAAGGTTATAGTTACAAGAGCAAGAAATACTGTTAAATTTCTAGTCATGAACATTTGAGACATCCAATCTCACTTTAAACAGGGAAATGCAAGTTAAAAATGAGATACCGGCTGGGTATGGTGGCTCATGCCTGTAATCCCAGCACTTTGGGAGGCTAAGGCAGGTGGATCACAAGGCCAGGAGTTCAAGACCAGCCTGGCCAACATAGTGAAACCCCGTCTCTACTAAAAATTTGAAAAATTAGTTGGACGTGGTGGTGGTCACCTATAAACCCAGCTACTGGGAGAATGAGGCAGGAGAATCGCTTGAACCCGGGAGGCGCCACTGCACTCCAGCCTGGGTGACAGTGCAAGACTCCATCTCAAAAATAAATAAATAAAATGAGATACCTTTTTTTGATATATCAGATCAACAAAAATGGAAAAGATTGGTAATATTAAGTGTTGGAGAAGGCTTGGGGTAATGCTTGCCTTTCACGGAGGCTAAAGCAACTCCATCTGGGAAGTTAGTCTGCCATGTTGACTTTTCTTTTTTTTTTTTTTTTTTTTTTTTTTTTTTTTTTTTTTTTTTTTTTTTTTTTTTTTTTTTTGAGACGGAGTTTCGCTCTTGTTACCCAGGCTGGAGTGCAATGGCGCGATCTCGGCTCACCGCAACCTCCGCCTCCTGGGTTCAGGCAATTCTCCTGCCTCAGCCTCCTGAGTAGCTGGGATTACAGGCACGCGCCACCATGCCCAGCTAATTTTTTGTAGTTTTAGTAGAGATGGGGTTTCACCATGTTGACCAGGATGGTCTCGATTTCTTGACCACCCGCCTCGGCCTCCCAAAGTGCTGGGATTACAAGAGTGAGCCACCGCGCCCGGCCCATGTTGACTTTTCATCAGCCTCTGTTCCAGGAATGACTCTAAGATTTCTACTCTACCTGCTATTACCATAAATCCTGCCCTTAGGCAGATTCATGTAGCATTCATGCCTTTGCTTAGGGGTCAACTTCAATTGTGCTACATATTCTTTCCTTATGTTGTATAAGCCCTGGGTCTGCAGGCTAATGGTACAGGGATCCACCATTTCATCTCTAAACTATGGCTTCTATTCGTAAGTCCCCATGAAATGTTTATTCCTCAGAGATCGGATATGTCAGCCTCTTTCTTCAGCTTTTCAGCTTCTCTGGACTTTGAGGATATATTTGCATAGATCTGCTCACCCTAGAGATCTTGATACCCAAATTTCTGTGGTGTAAATATTCCCCCTGGCCAATTTCAAGGTGTAAAGATGATGTCACCAAGTGGAGTTGGGGAGAGATGTGCAGAAGTATGCCATTATGTAGATTTCCACCATGCAGACACAATAGATATAAATAACATCAATAGCATAGATTTAAGAAGGCAGTAAAATGTTTGGAAAAGTGATGGATGTTTGGTTTTTATTATCTGTGATATAATCTATTTAATTGTTAGTTTATATAATTTAGTTGTTTTTTTTTTTTTTTTTTTAATGATTGCTGTGTTTAACAACGAGCTCACCAAATTCCTGGAAATTTGACAATCAGTTCTCATGAGCTTGTCCAAATTGGCCCCAGCACACGACTCCACCCATACTGTGCATCTTTGCTACTAAATGTGTGATCTGTTGACCAGCAACATCAATAACATCTGGGAGCTTTTTAGAAATGCAGACCCTCAGGGCTTACCCCAGAGTTACCAAGTCAGCATCTGCATGTTAACAAGATTCTTAGATGATTTGAATGCTTGAGACACAGTGTTTTAAAGTGCTGTGTAGCCATTTAAACAACAACAAAAAAGGAGGTCAATCCTTAGGAATTGTTACAGAAAAGAATTCCAAATATACTGTTGAGTGAAAAAAAAAAAACCAGTTTCCAGAATGCAAGGTGAGGGCATTTAGATAAAACTCACACAATGAGCTAAATTTGTATTTCTATATGTTATATAAATGTATATGTAAATGCATGGAAACAGGGTTGGAAGGATAATGGTTGCCCCTGGGTAAGGGAATGGTATTGGATTTAGAGTTGGGGTGGGGAAGTCATGGAATGACTAGCAATCAAGAAAGACAAAGTTTTTAAGAGTCATTCTTGCCTTCCGCCTTCTGAGAAAATCAGATCTTAACTGATGTTTGCAATGCTACCACTATTCATTCATCTTTTGGGTTTAACACATATTAAAATGCAAATACTTTTGCTTAAACATACAGTCAGCTACATACACTTCAGTGTGAGTTGATATGATACATATGTCTTCCCTCCTTCCCTCCCTCCCTCCCTTCCT